GCCTGCTTTAAAACAATACACCCCTTCGTGAAGGAAGCCAACAGTTCTGTTTCTGAGAACATGCCCTGTAGCCATAAGCAAGCTTTTTAGCTTCCAGCACAGTGCTTGTCCATATGAGGGGCTCAATAAATACTTCTTGGATTGTTGTACTCTGAGCCTCAGCTTCTTCATCTGTAAAATGGGCACAATAATAGTACCTTCCCTGCAGGGTGGTTCAGAGACTTAAATAAGGTATGCAAGAAGCTTAGTACAAGTCCTGCTATTATAGCAGGTGCTGAGCTTATGTAAGTTCCATGTTCGCACCCACAGGTGTCAGCCTCTGTTGCCCTGACCTTATCTGGGTCTTTCCTTTCCTGTAGCTGCATGGGGAGTCTGCACGCTGCTGAGTGACCTGCACGCCTCACCTTATAGAAAGGATGGCGGGCTCTGACCTCCTGTGGCTGGCCTTGGCCTCCTGCATTCTGACCCTGGCATCTGCGGAGCAGCAAGGTGAGTGCCCTGCTCACCTGGCGTCGCAGATGTCCAGAACACCTGGGGAGTAAGTGGGGCAGGCAGAGAAGGCGGTGCAGGATAGTGAGAGGAATGAGCTGGTCTACAGCAGAGACTGAGAGCTAGAAGTCAAGGGTTACATGCTGAGGAAAATGGGAACCAAGCCACAGTCTCTCAAAGAGTCATATCGGAAAGTCCCCTGAAAGGGTGGTGGCAGCCAGTTAGCACAACTTCCCCTGCCCATATCTGGGAGAGATCAGAGCCCTGGGACTGGTATCTCCTTCCTCTGTATCCATTTGCTCATCTTGTAAAAATGAAAGAGCAAGATTTAGTGATCCCGCTGGTTCCTGCCAAAGATCTATGAATTGAGCATCTTACAAACTTGTAGAAAGGGTTTTCAAGCTCAAGACTACGGTGCAAATTTCTGCCTGTGTCGCCTGTGGGGAAAGGTGTTTGGGGAAACCGAGCTCATGGCTTTTGATAGGAATGTACAGGGCGTGCAGGAAATAATCCCAGAGTAACAAGCGCAGCAGCTTCTTTCCTTAAAGCAAGAGTACATGGGAGTGAGGCTTGGAAATCTTTCTTTTTAAGAATCCCCTCTAACATGTATTGTAAGAATATGATCATGTGTGTGTATTTAGTTTGTCATTCAGGCACGCACACCATTTGATAAATCAAAACTAGAAAAGAGAATTAGCTTGACCTTGGTGCTGTGCTTGGTATTTTACATGTATTATCTCATTTAATCCTCTAACAATCCTTTAAGGATTTATCCCTCCAAATGGGGCATACGTATCCCAAGACATGACTCTGGGGTTGCATGGAACTCTTTAAAAAAATTAATAGATATATATTTATTTCCCTGTGTATTTTACAAAACATAAGTAGTGCGTGACACCTATGTTATCATAGATATTATTCCTTAAGATGAAACTAATTTTTAAAGGGAATCATTGAAAGAAACATTTTAAGTAAATAATAGGACAGGCTGACGCAGGTGTGGAAAACATCAAGACTCAAGGCGTGGGAATGGCTGAGGTCTGGCAACCACAAGCTTGCAGGTGTGGTTTTGCCGATGAGTCCCAGGGGAGTTAAATCACCTGCCAAGGTCACCTAGCTAGCAGGTGTGGAGCTGGATTTATTTTATTTATTTATTTTTTAAAAGATGACCGGTAAGGACATCTTAACCCTTGATTTGGTGTTGTCAGCACCACGCTCTCCCAAGTGAGCCACGGGTCGGCACCGTGGAGCTGGATTTAAACCTAGCCTGACCAGCCTCTCATTTTCCTCTCTCTTCTCTGCCTCTTCATACATCACAGTCCCTGAAACTGTTAAAACTCATGGTAGATCAGCAACCAGAAATGGATTTGTTACATCAGTGGTTCTCAGCTGGAGGGGATTTTGCCCCACCAGGGACATTTGGCAATGCCTGGAGACAACTTGAGGGTGCTACTAGCATCTAGTGGGTAGAGACCAGCAATTCTGCTAAACGTTCTACTATGTACAGGGCAGCCCCCATGTGGTAGAATGATCCAGCCAAGATGTCAATAGTGCCAAGGTTGAGAAATCTTTTGTTAGACTGTATCTGCTGATATGGAAAAATGGCTGTGCTGTATTAATTTAAAAATGCAAGTGGAAAAAAAAAAAACTTGTACAGAATTAAACTGATTTTTACTTTTAAAAAATCCCTATATTTTAAACATACACGTAGCAAGAATCTGAAGGCTATACAACAGACTTATGATTACTTCTGGGGATGAAATGAGCTTATGAGGACTTTCATTTCTACTTTATTTGTTTAATGATGTGTGAGGTTTTTTCCCAGTGAGCCCGTATTAAGTAAATAATGAGAAAAACAAATATTGGTCAAACAAGGTTGCTTTGTATGGCTGTACAGGGAAGCACTTTGTAACTCTGAGCGGAGAGGAAGTGAGGTGGGGTGTGAAGGGCAGTGTCCCTGATGTCCCCAAAGCCTATGAAATACCACACCAAGTCCTGATTGAATTTTCTGACCCCAGGTGATGATGTTTGATAGTTAATTACAGATTGTGTGTCTGATTTCCTCATTAGGGTCCTTAGCACATCCAAAGTAGAACATGGGGGTGTAAAAATCCTGTGGGCTCTGGGGTTGCTCAGTGCACCCAAGCACACTCTGTCACTTTCCCAGGTTACCCTACTGAACCCAGTTCCTATGGGCTGGACTTGGAGTGCGAAGCCATTGGCACCTCGGAGTCCCAACTCTGTTTTGACCCCTGCCAGAATTACACCAGCCTGGATGAACCCTTCCGAAGCACAGAGAACTCAGAAGACAACCAGGGGTGTGACGAGGACTTGCACGGCTGGTACCGCTTTGAGGGTGAAGGAGGAGTGAGGTTGTCGGAGACCTGTGTCCCAACGTACCGGTGCCAGGCGGCTGCTCCCCTGTGGCTGAATGGGACCCACCCCACCCTCGGAGATGGCATTGTCAGCCGCACTGCTTGTGCCCACTGGAGTGGCAACTGCTGTCTCTGGAAGACCGAGGTGCTGGTGAAGGCCTGCTCGGGTGGGTACCATGTGTACTGGTTGGATGGCACCCCCAGCTGTGATCTGAGATACTGTACAGGTAAGCAGCAGAGATCCTGGAGTCAGCTGCTGGCCAGGGTGACCAGTGACATCCCCAAGGCTCAGGAGAGTGATTAGAACAGGTCAAAAGGAAACTACGCAGAACAATCTTGAGTCAGCTCCTGCTGGCTACTGCCCAGTAGGAAGGTAGCCCAGTGGTTGCCAGGTCTTTCAGCATCTCAAGGAAAGCCAGAAATTCCAATTTGAGAGTGAAATCTCCCGATTTATAAATGTGTGTAGCATAGTATCAAGAACTCAGGCTCATTCAGATTTTGATTCTATTTCGGCAGTTTAATTTACCTCTCTGAGTCTTCCTTTCTTATTTGAAAAAATGGAAAATAGCAAAAATAACAGCTAACACATAGTGCTCACAACGCACTTGCTACTATCCTGAGCACTTGAAACACACACACGGGTACTTAAAAAAGCTTATGGAAAGATTAGTAGTATCTTTTATTCTACTTTTCCATGAACTTTTGGAAGCATCCTTGAATTAACTTATCTAATCCTTTCACCAACTCCATGAGATCGGCACCACCTCCAGGGCACAGAAGTTAGGGAGCTCTCCCAGTGTCACCGAACTGGGTTTTGAATCCAGGCACTCGACCCTGTCAGTCATATGCCTAACCATTATTCTGCCCTGTCTCATATTGTTACCCTGAAGATTAAATGAGATAATACATAGAAAGCACTTAGCATGAAGCCTGGCCTGTAGCAAGCTTTGGTGTTCTGCCTTACTGCACTGGATTGGGAGACAGGAAATCTGAGTTCGAGGCTTAGCCCTTGTATTAAGTATGGCGCAACCTTGGTGAGACTCCTGTGCCCTGGAGGAATGGGAGGTCTGGGTTGGGGACCTCAGGTCTATCCTGCCCTGCATCCTGATCTCTTCCACCCTCCCCTAGACCCCTCCACTGTGGAGGACAAATGTGAGGAGGCTTGCCGCCCTGAGGAGGAGTGCCTCGCTGTCGACGGCATCTGGGGCTGTTTCTGCAAACAGGACCTCAATGGCTCTGGTGAGCAGCTCGCTGGGCTGGTGGCTGCCGTCCTGCAGGGTCAGGAAAAGGTGTAAACCAGAGATGGGGGCATGGAACTGATGTGGGAGGAATGCGGGTTCTCCAGTCCACTTGCCATGAAGTCAGTGGGTGTCCAAAGAAGGGAGGGCAGGACTGGAACAAATTTCCAGGTCGGTCACTGGACTGTGGCCTTGGGAAATGGCTCAGATGTGGGCAGGCTTGACCCATGAAGGACGGAGGAACTGAGGATGAGATCTCTGCAAGTGTGGCTGCTGTGTTCAAGTATCAGAGTCTTCATGTAAGGGACGTGGGCAGACTCCTGGAACAAGCCGCCTACCCTGAGCCTTAATGTCCTCATCTCTAAAATGAAGATAGTAATAAAAACACCTGCCATATAAGGCTATCGTGAGAATTAAATCAGAGCAGTCCAATGGGCAGGCTTGACAGGTGATGAGTTTCTTGTTCCAGGAAGTGAGCAAGCAGAGTCCCATGGCCCGGGGTTAGGGATGCCGTAGACAAACCCTAAGCCCTGGATGGGCTTGGATGGGCCTCCCATGGAGATTATTTCCCTCATCTCTTCATAGGACTCTAATGAGGGCCTTTGACTCTTGTTCTTGGCACAGCATGCTTTCCTCTGAGCACACTCTCAGTCCACATTGAAGTGTCCTAGGGAGAGGGACAAGAAGAAGCATGACATATTTGGAAAATTGGGCTGCAGTGGATGAGGTGGTGCTTAGCTGTGCCCAGCAAGAGCAACATGGGGGAAGGGAACACCCCTGCTCTCCTTGAAGACTCTCTCTGCTCATTGGGTGGGTGAGAGCCTAGAGGGTTGGTGGTGCTTTCTGGGGGTTAGGCTCATCCCAGAGTCAGCCCATCCCAGAGGTTGGGCTTTGAGGATGTCTCTATACCTGGATGGACTCCAAGGTCCTCCTCAGCTGGTTGGATGAGCAGGAGGCTTCATTAGTGACTGGCAGAACAGTGGCTGTTCAGTGGGCCCCTGTTGCTTACAGACACAATCCCTTCAAGATCTGGCTCTCAGTGACTTCTCCATCTCCTCACTTCCACCCCCTCCTGTACTGAGTTTCTCTACCTCTGAATTCTGCACTTCTATAAACACACTCTCCCATCTCCACACCTTTCCTTCTGCTGTTCCCTTAGCCAGGATTTCTTAGCTTGCCTTATTCACTTGCAAAGGTTCTGCCCCCTCTCAAGTCTCAGCCCGCCATGAATCCTTCCCTGACGTCACCAACAGACTCAGATCAACCTTCCTGTGTGACCCCTGCACCTGGAACATACTTCTGTCGGCACCTTCACCAGGTTGAATTGTCATAAACTGTTGGGATGTTGGTGTTGACACAAAACCAAAGAATCCTCATGTCATACTGAGTTCATTTATATTATTTATTTTTCTGTCGAATGTTCCTAGCACACAGAGAAGCTGGTTAGTAAATGGGGACTGACCCAATGCATTCATGGATATGATAGAAATTGTATTTGTATTTGTTTACTGTCTGTCTCCCCTGTTAGGATGTTAGCTCTATAAGGGTGGGAATTTTATCAGTTTTGATAAGTGTTGTATCCCCCACCACCTGGCAGATAGTAGATGCTCAAGAAGTATTTGTTGAATAAATGTTGAATGAATGAATAAATAGGATGGCTCTGAACCTGGTCAGATGTTCCGGTTTTGCAAAGTAGTATATATCTATCATTAATTCTAGTCTGGAATGCATGACCATCCTACTTCCCCAAAGATCCCAATTCCCCAGAGGAACTAGACAGGAAAACTTTAGCCAAGCCTGCACATAGGATGCTTGGAAATCTTGGACCAGTGTCTTAACCAACCTCGCCTGCCACCAGCCTGGACATGAATTCCATCTGGGTCTCAGGCCCCTTCTAGTCTACCCAACCTCCTGGTGGGCATGGTAGCTTTGCCAAGGGGCAGGGAATGTGGACTCTGCCCACTGCTTCCAAGCCCCTGTGCACTTTACTTACTCCTCCCTTGGCTTTCCAGATGTCTACAGTCTACAGCCTCAGCTGGAATGTGGGCCCACGGAGATGAAGGTGAAGGTGGACAAGTGTTTGCTGGGAGGCCTGGGTTTGGGGGAGGATCCCATTGCCTATCTGCGGGACTGGAACTGCAGCACCATCATGCAAGAAGAGGAGAGCAACTGGATTTCTGTGACCAGCCCCGTCCAGGCTAGTGCCTGCGGGACCACTCTGGAAGTGAGTAGCGCTCACACCACTGCTGCCTCAGTGTGGGAGTCGGGCTGATGGGACCTATCTCAGTAGCTGTGAGATCTTGGGCAAGTCACTTAGCCTCTCTGGGCCTCCAGGGTTATGTGAGATTCCACCTGTTTGTTCACATAAAGAGCTTAATACAGATGTGACACTTGAGTTCAGTAAATGTAAGCTCTAATTGTGATGATTTTTTTTTTCCTTTTTTTTGTCTTTTTTCGTGTCCGGCAACGGATCGCAACCCTCAGTG